TTAACAGTTGAATAATACAAAGACAACCTTCACACACTGCACAAAAAGGTTATCCGGACACCATCTTTTCTAATCCAGAGTTCAGTGACTGACTCACCAGTGAGCTTTGGGATCTTCTCCACCCCTCAGCTGTAGGATACAGAAAGGAATCCTTGCTCTGGGCTGTCTTGCTGGTCCTGAAGATTTGAACTCAGCTCCTCGTATTTACATGAATCACTTTACTGATGGAGCTATTCTTCCAGCCTTGCATTATCCCCTTTAAAACACTCACAAACACTGTTGAGGAAGTGCCTCGCAGTGCATTTTATCATTACATGCTGTCTAATCTTCTCATCTTCCCTTCAAAATCTGCACCTAAAGTCTTTCAGAGATGTGTTGCAGTAAACTCAGCTTTCTCGTGATAGTATAATGGTAGTTGGTCTCTCTATGTTTTGTTTCTGTTGTTATGGTTTTGAGAGGGTCTCATATAGCCCAGGATAGCACCAAACTTTCTATGTAGCCAAAGATGACCTTGAATTTGTGATGCCCCTGCCTCCACCTCCCAAGTGTGATCCACGAAGTCCAGGTCAATTTTGGTTAGTTGGTTGGTTAGTTTGGGTTTATTTTGGGTGGTTTTTGTTTGTTTGTTGTTCCTGGGAATTGAACCTCATAAATGAGTGCTCTACCCTTGAACTATATGGATAGCACTGTTTTTGTCTATTTGCTTGCCATTGCCCTATAGTTATTTATGCTCATATGCATTTAATTGAAAAGGAAGAAGGAAATCTACTGGTCACCCAGGTGAGTGAATACATAGGGCATTTAGTCTTCCTTCAGGTTCTTTTTGGTAAAAATTAAGCTCCAAAATATGACATTGCAACACACACCCTGTCTCATGTTCACACTTTTTTTTTTTTGTTATTGTTGTTGTTAAAGCCATAAAAATTGCTTAAATACCAGGAGTTTGGTTAAGGGTGAGCAGGGAAGTCTGGAATGTTTTTAATCTCATGTTCAGTGTTCTTGGTAATACTAGAAGAGCAGCAGAGCCAGGAATTCAGTTAGGTTTTTTTGGCTCAAGCAGTCTACCCTGACTTAAGTGCCTCTCACTTGGGAAAAACAACAAGAAGCCTACCACCTAGGGCTTCAGTTGACAGGAAACATAACCTGAGCCAGGGATGTGACCTGCCTGCCAAGCCAAGCGAATATGATCTGAAATGGCATTAGCAGAAGGCTACTGGCCAGCATAAGAAAGGATAGAGCCCCAGGGTTCACTTTACTGGGACTAGCTCACACCTAGAGAATGGTGTGTCCTTCTGTGTCTTAAAACTGATTCAACAACTCCAAGTTTATGTAAGTTGGGTGACTGGATGGTTAATTGCTAGGATCCTTTGAAGAAAGGTGGACAATTTGGTGTAGTTTATGCTGGAAGCTAGACATGAGGATATAGGATAACTCATTTGAAACAATCCATGAGCTATCGTTTAGAAAAGCCGGACTCGCCGGGCAGTGTTGGCACATGCCTTTAATCCCAGCACTTGGGAGGCAGGGGCAGGTGGATTTCTGAGTTCTAGGCCAGCCTGGTCTACAGAGTGAGTTCCAGGACAGCCAGGGCTACACAGAGAAACTCTATCTCAAAAAACAAACAAACAAAAAAAAACAAAAACAAAACAAAAAACAAAACAAAACAAAAAACAAAAAACATGCAGAAAAGAGCAGCTCTTACATTTAAGAACCAGTGTACAAGTAGGATGGCAAATGTGGAGAAATGACCCTAATCAAGATCCTTTCAGATCTAAAGGTTCTAATGACAAACTCTACAAAGGTTACCATTTCTCTCTTCTAGACCCCATGTAAGTTTTAACCACAGAAACCATGTTTAAAATAGATTCCAGGTCCAGCAAGATGGCTCAGTGGGCGACAGCATTGGCTGCCAAGTTGGCAACTTGGTTCCACGTAATAGGAGTGAACCAACTCCAGAAAGTTGTCCTATGACCACCATATGCAAGCCATAGTAGGTGTGTGCCCCCCAAAACAAGTAAACATAATAAAACCTTAAAAACAGACACTGTGTTTATCAAAGCTAAAAGTATAGACAGAAAATAAACACATACCTACTTCCAGTTTTCCCCTGATAGTTATAGAACTCTATTTAAAAGTTAAGAAGTAGTACTATGAATAAATGTTTTTGTCACTAAACCTAGAAGCCTGGTATAACTTATTTCTCATCACACCTCTGGCCTTCCAGGATGTATGCCCCATTTAGTCAAGATATCTCTCTCTCTCTCTCTCTCTCTCTCTCTCTCTCTCTCTCTCTCTCTGTCTCTGTCTGTCTCTCTGTCTCTCTCTCTCTCTCTCTATCTATCTATCTATCTCTCTCTCTCTCTCTCTCTCTCTCTCTCCCTCTCTCTCTCTGTCTCTGCTTGTCTCTCCATGTGTATGTATGCCTACATGCCAGAAGAGGACATCAGATCCCATTATAGATCCATTATAGATAGTTGTGAGATGCTATGTGGTTGCTGGGAACTGAACTCAAGATCTCTGAAAAAAGCAGCCAGTGCTCTTAAGCACTGAGCCCCTGGGCAAGATTTTTTTAACTACATATTATATAAGATAGTATTTCAGTCAGCAGTGGTGGATCATGACTTTAATCCCAGCAGTCTGGAGGCAGATCTCTGAGTTCAAGGACAGCCTAGTCTATAGAGCTTATTCCAGAACAGCCAGGACTGTACCAAGAAACCCTGTCTCAAACAAATAATCAAACAATAACAACAACAACAACAACAAAAATAGTATTGCAAAGAATGATAATTTGTGTCCATAGGCCAAGAGTCCAGAACTGTGGAACAACTGGTCATTAGAGCTTATTGACCATTAATAATAAAGTAGCATACACTAAAGTGTCTGGATTGGGAACATTTTTCTTGACAACAAGTAGGTCAGGTTAGCAATTACCATTTTATTTTACCAATCCAGAAACTAGTTCTTGGAGCTGCTTGCCTATCAGAATATTACATGGAGCTAAAGCTGGATCACAGATTTTTTTTAAAATGTCTAGTTCACTGTTCTTTCTAATACAAACAGTACTGTTTTCTCCAAATAGTAGGTTTATAACCTTACTTGAATACTGTTTATATTTTTCTTTCTGAACTGTACTAGTTCTTTGTCACAGGCAAGTTGTTTTGGTCAAAGACAGTTTCGAGTGTAAGTGTTGTCTCCTGTTAATTCTGTGCTATCAAAAGTTTCCAGGTGGGGCTAGAGAGATAGATAGCTCAGCAGTTATGAACACTTGTTTAAAGCTCTTTTTTTTTTTAGATTAGTTTATTTTATATAAGTACACTGTCACTGTCTTCAGACACACCAGAAGAGGGCATTGGATCCCCACTACAGATGGTTGTGAGCCACCATGTGGGTGCTGGGAATTGAACTCAGGAACTCTGGAAGAGCAGTCAGTGCTTTTAACCATTGAGCCATCTCTCCAGCCCACGAATACTTGTTGATCTTGTAGAAGACTAAGTAAGGTTTGGTTCTCAGCACCATAGTGGAGTTTACAACCGTCTTTAACTCCAGAGGATCTGGCACCCTCTTCTGGCCTCTGTGCAAACCAAACTCCACTTCAGTACCCATACACACATACAGCATAACATATAAAATAAAAATAATAAATAAATCTTTATGAAAGTCTTCAGCATACACTACTACTGAAGTTTGAGAATACTTGACCATCAAGAGATGGACCATTTCTTGATGGCCAAGTATTTTTATGTATTTTATTGTGTTGTTTGTCTGCATTCATGCCTGTGCACCAAACTCGTTCCTAGTGCCCTTGGAGATGAGAAGAGTGCATTAGATCCCCTGGAACTGGGGTTACAGATAGTGTGGACCACCATGTGGGTGTTGGGAATTGAACCTGGTCCTCTGAAAAAGCAGCAAGTGCTCCTAACCACCAATCCACCACTTGGAGCCCCGGTTTTGTTCTATGTAAAATAGAATCAGTAATAGCACTGCCTGCCTTTTGAGGCTATCGAGAGGCTCAAGTATGGGAATGGGTTTTGAAAAATGCATTGTATGTTATCAATCATCTTTTACACACTTCCTATTGGGTATCACCATGTTTTCAAATTACTTTTGATTAAATCCTACCAAGTGCAGAATAAGTCTTATTTAGTGACATCATGCTGTGCAAATAATCAATTGCAATTGATGTCTCTTGAGTGTCCAGCCTAGAACTAACAAAGTAGTTTGAAATCAGGCCCTTCCTCCAGTGCTCAGATAGCATGGTCCAAAGGTGACCGGCCAACTTGGGATTCCAAGAAAATCTGGAGATGCTTAAGAGTTGAATGAGTCTGCCAGACCAATAAAGACGGGAGCTGCCTAGGTAGGGAGGGTATTGGAGAGTGAAAGTACACATCTGTATCACCGGATTGCAGTAGTCAACATAGGCTTGCAGTAGAGTTCTTATACTGCGGGGCTAGTCATGTAGCCTCTCAGAACTTCAGTTTCCTTATCTGTGAAGACAAATTAGCCAGAAGTGGTGGCCCATGCCACTAAACCCAGAATCTTGGGTGACTGAGGCAGGAGTACCATGAGTTACAGGCCAGTCGGGACTATGTAAGACAAAGCTAAAAAAAGAAAAGAAAGACCTACCCAACACTTAACAAACAAGACAGAGAAATAGTGTCCACCATATTGATATGTTTAATAAAGAGTTAATACTTGTATTTGAACTTAGCGTATCAGCTGGCACAGAGTAAAAGTTTAATTAAACACTAGTGTTAGGCATTATGTTTTAGTAATACTTTAATAATAAGTGAATAATTCATTGCTATATTGTTGTAGGGACGAGATGAGGATTCCTGAGCCAGTGTTTCAGTTTAAAGAGCTGTAAGACAAGTAGGCCAATCTGAGCGAGCCGCAGAGGCCAAGACAGACTTGTAGGGAAACACAGTGAACCCCGCTCCCAGGGTCACGTGGCTCGTGGCCGCGCCCCTATCCAGGGAGTCGAGAGCGGCTGCGGCAGCACTCGGTGCGCGTGCGCGGAGGCCTGCGCGCTCTGCGGCGCGGTCCGCGGCGGAGGCGGCTCGTGCGGATAGGGGGTGGCGGATGGCTCTGCGGGGCCCGGCAGTCTTCGGGCCCGGTTCCCGCGGGTCGTTGGGCGAGGCTGGAGCCGAAGGGCGCGAGGCGGCGGCCCTTGCGGCGGCGGGAGTCGCGCTGGAGGACGATGAGGAGGACGATGGCCGCCGGGGCCTGCTGCGCTGGGACGGCTTCTCGGCCTGGCTACACTGCGTGTGTGTGGTGGGCTTCGACCTGGAGCTGGGCCAGGCGGTGGAGGTGAGGCCGAGCCGCACCCTGTCTCCACCCTTGGGCGGCCGGGCCCAGGCCGCCTCGCATCCGGGCGTGGCTCGCAGCCCCTGCGCGGCCCAGCTGGGCGGCGCTTCTCCGGCCCTTCGGTGGGAGGATCGTGGGCTGCGGCTAGGGGTTAAAAGTTCTTTGTAGGCCCCTCCTAAATACTTGTTGATGTTCCTCTTTTAAAAAAAAACACGGCGATAACTGAAGGGTAGCGGCACCCAGAAAAGGCTGCAGCAGACAGGATGTTTGCTTGGAACTTTCAAGAAAGGAACAATACCCCTGACATATGTGAATTATAGTAGCCAAACGTGCACGTCCAATCATGTGGGCTGACGGACTGTAGTATCAATTGCGCTAACTCATAGATCGGTCCACTAAGTCCAAGTCGAAATGCTTAGCATGCATTTTCTCTTTTTTCTCTTTGTTCCCCATTTCTGGGTGAAGTGTTGTTGGGCTTCCATTCCCTCCAAGCATTACAAATAGAATTCAAGGCCTTCTAGAAACTAGGCAAGCTCTCTACTTGAGAGCTGTCCCTGACCGACCCTCTCCCCCGTTCCCCACTGTTTGTTAATACTGATTCTGTACAGTTCCCAGAAATCTGATGTCAGTGGGAAACTCTTTGGCTTATAAATCTGTCAGATATAACATCTTACCTAAAAGGCCTTCGAATCCCACTCATTTTTGCCATCATTTAGCATCCCTACCCCCCCTTTTTTTTGTAGCATAAAAGATGTGTCTTATTTATCCAAGGGAAAAATTGTTAGAAAGGTTCATGCTCCGAAGTTTTTGGTATTTTGTTATTGTTCTTTTGGCATCGGTGAAAGATTCTAATCTTATTCTAACTTTGGTCTGGTTGTTTCAAATGAGAAACTACTGTTTTTGTATTCCACCATCTCCTTGTCTTTTGTGTCGTTACATAGTTCATAGTTCATTTAAATATTGAGTTTTCATTAAGATCTAGGCACAATGCAAGTTAGTGGACATACACATAAAAGGATGTTCTAACCTGTATTTATGGATTGAGACAATAAGATGGAGATCTAAGAATTTATCTATGTAGTCAGCAGGATCAAATTTATTGCCTGACACAGTGTTCATTAAACACTTGTTGATAGAGGGAGTTAGTACATAGAGCGATTCTGTATTTTATTTGAGACAGGGATAACATTCTCCAAAGACTGAAGACATTTATTTTTAAAGATTTGTTTATTTGGCCGGGCAGTGGTGGCGCACGCCTTTAATCCCAGCACTTGGGAGGCAGAGGCAGGTGGATTTCTGAGTTCGAGGCCAGCCTGGTCTGCAGAGTGAGTTCCAGGACAGCCAGGGCTACAGAGAAACCCTGTCTGGAAAAACCAAAAAAAAAAAAAAAAAAAGATTTGTTTATTTATATAATGTGTATGAATGTTTTGCCTTCATGTCTGTATGTACAGAGCATTTTTATGTTGTGCTTGTGGAGGCTGGAAAAGGGGGTTAGATCCATGCGATCTGCAATCCTTCTGGTCATGTAGGTGCTGGGAACTGAACTCACATCCTCTGGAAGAGCAGCAAGTGATCTTAACAGCTGAACCATCCATCTCTCCAGCCCCAGAAGACAGTATTTTATGCCAGTTATTTAATGATAAACTGAAATTATATGTGTAGCAAAATAAAACTTAATTGAGAAGCAGAAGCTGTAATATTTGGTCACATTTTAAAAAAAGATTTATTTATGTGTGGGTGTTTTGCTTGCCTCTGGGTTCCTGCTCCACGCTCCTGCCTGGTACATCTGGGGGTCAGAAGAGGGCATCCGGACCTCTGAACCAGAGTTGCAGACAGTTGAGAGCTGCCACTGAACCTGGGTCCTCTGGAAGAGCAACAAGGGTTCTTACTTACCTAATGAGCCATCTCTCTAGCCCCATTGATTGGTTTTTGTAATCTTGTCATTTGGAACATTGCTTTTAAAATGAGTAGTTTGTTTTTTAAATAAGTGGAATATTTTGACAGAGTTGAGGTGATGAAAAATAATCAGTAAAGGTTACATACTAAATTTTATTTATTTCCCATAGTTGCCATTTCACAGCAGTTTTCTTTATGAGGTAGTTCTTAGCTTTTTTTTTTTTTTGCTTCCTGAGCCTTCAAAACAAACAAACAAACAAAAAAATCAACAGTTTGAACTCTCTTAGAAAATGAGTAAGACAAAATTCTGCTTATAGTTAGACTATTTGAACTAATCCACGGATCCTTTGTTACATTCTGTGTCCAGATTAAGGATCCCTGCTTTAAGAAAGTAAAGATAGGAGAGGAAGATTCCTTCATAAAGGATCTAAAGAAAGGTAAACACAGTAAGATGTAAAATGATTTTGCTTTGAGACCGGATCTTACTCTAGTGGAATACATGTAGCCCAGGCTGGCCTTGAACTTACAGCAGTCTTTCTGTCTCAGTCTATATCTCTCACCCCTCTTTACTCCACCTCCTAGTGTTGGGATTAGCTAGTGGTTATGTGCTACCATCTTTGGGACAGAACAATTTTGTTTTGCTTGTCTAAAAAGAAATTACTACATTTATGTATTGTGTAAGTGTGTTTGTGCATGCATATATGTCACTGTGCACACAGGAGAGTAAGGCATAGAGCAGGAGTCTGTCCTCTCCTTTCACCATGTGAGTGCCAGGAGCCACACTCGGGTCTGAAGGCTTGGCAGCAGCAATTTCTTTTCTCTAAACCGCTGAGCCCTGTGCTTTTATTCTTTAAGACAGGGTCTCCCTATGTAAACCAAGCTGGCTTCAAACTCAAGAGATCTGTCTCCTGTCTCCTGAGTATACCACCAGTCCTAGCGTTTATTTTATTTTACTGAAGGAGAAATGGAGAAATATAGTGTTTTACCTTAAATGAACACAAAGCAGGAACGAATATATGAAAACAATTGAAGATATATTTTGCTCTCTATATATGTTTTTTTTTTTTTGAAGCTACACCTGTGTTGGAACTGTGTAGGAGTAGCAGTTAGGATGGCGTTAGAAAGTAGACCTGTGTTGGAAGTGACATACATAGTGGCTCCAGCCCTGTGTCTGTAAACTACAACCAGGGAGGGGCAAAGGAGGATTACAAAATAGCAGTCACACAAACGGGTCACACAGTCCTGGAGGCTGCCAGCCTTCCCTGTCTCAGCATCAGGATTTAGAGGCTCTCTGCTATGCCAGAAAGCCTATGTACTTGTTCCTTTTTTAATTTTGTTTTGTTGTTTTCAAGACAGGGTTTCTCTGTGTAGCCCTGGCTGTCCTGGAATTCACTTTGTAGACCAGGCTGGCCTTGAACTCACAGATCTACCTTCTTCTATCTCCTGAGTGCTGGAAATAAAGGCACGTGCAACTACACCACCACCACAGGGCTATATATTTGTTTCTTAAAAATACAGAATCAACACTTAGAGAGTCATGTGACTCTCTAAAAATGAGATCCCAGTGAATAATTAGTTGAAAGCATGGAGGGATGTCAGCATTCTTAAAAAAGCAAAACAGAACAAAGCAAAACAAAACAAAAATGTAGAATTAGAGTCACTTTAAATCACCAAAGAGACAGCATAGAGTAACAATCAGAAACCTAGTCTGTGCAGGGTGTGGTGCTGCAGACTGTAAGCCCAGCACTGAAGAGGCGGAGGGGGACCGTGGGCAGCCTGTCCTACAGGGACAGGCAGCAACAACAAAACTAAGCACATACAAGTTTGAGCCGCACATCACTTTCTTTGTGGGATAATAGTAGCCTGTACACCATTCCTTTGTGAGGTAATTACAGTAGGAAAAGCATTTAGAATGCTATTTGAGATGAAGCAGTGTGTTTTGGATAGCATTGATTTTCTAGAAATCTTTTTCAATTTCTTATTTTAAAGTAAGGACACTTATCCCAACTTATCCCAAATCATAAAGTATAGTAAGCCAGGATTTTGATTCCTTTGCTTCCAAAAGTTTTGGTTTGCTCTGATCTTCCAACTATCCTGAGTGAAAAATAAAGCTACTCAGAGAAATCGGAAGCAGTGAAGACCTGTGAAATGCCAATGATAACCGAAAGTGAGATCCCTAAGTTACTGGCAGTGACAGTTTGCCTTCCTCAGGGCACCCTCTTACACAGCAATGCTAAATAAAACATGCTGAACACTTCTAACCTGGAAACCAGAAATCTAAATGCTTCAAAATCTTAAAACTTAAAAAAAAAATTGAGTGAACTTTAGGTCTTTAGAGCCTTATATTTCTCATTTATCAGTTAATAAGAGTCCCTTTAGGTATTATAGGATCAGTTTTGAGGGCAATACTATTAAAGTCTTGTTGCTATCTATTAAACAGGAACATTGAGGCTGTTTGGAAAGGGCGTAACAGTTAGTTTGCTTATTGCCTGTCAAGTTGAGAGAACTCTGTATTAGTATGTTTTCTGTAATGATAGCAAAATACTGGTCACTGGGTGATGTATAAAGAAAGAAGTTTATTTAGCTCATAGTCTTTTTTTTTTTTTAAGACTTGTCTATTTTATGTATGTGAGTACACTGTAGCTGTCTTCAGACACACTGGAAGAGGGCATCAGATCCCATTGCAGATGGTTGTGAGCCACAAGGTGGTTATTGGGAATTGAACTCAGAACCTCTGGAAGAGCAGTCAGTGCTCATAACCACTGAACCATCTCTACAGCCTGTAGCTCACAGTCTTAAAGGTCCAGTAGTATGACAGTACCTAGGGGGTGGCATTACAATGAGAATGTAAAGGAGTCACATGGTAAGAAGGAAAGCAAGACCCTGGGGCAGGGGGTAGTTCCTTTTTAAATTAAAAAAAAAAAAAAGTAACAGTCCTGTCTAGGGCTAATCTCCTTGAGACCGTCATTGTTCCTTTCTAGGCTACTAGCTCAACACGCACTGAGACCAAGCTTCCTACATAGGAACTTTATGTGGATACATACAAACCATATGCAAACAGCAGACTCTATCAGGTACCTTTTTAATTTTTTAAAAGTACTTTTAAT